TTGCTTTTTCGTAGGCTTGTTGACGGGCTGATGTGGGTGAGGTTGATTCTGCTGGGTTGGTGAGAGGCTTGCTAGTGAATGGGGCCATAGTCATGGGCGGCTCTTTTCGCTTTTGTCCTGCTGCTGTAGGGGTGCTAAGTTCTGTTTTTCCTTTCTCTGGTACGAGGGGGTTCGGTAGGGCTACGGGTCCTAGTATAGATTCGATCACCTCAGCGCCGGCGCGGAGCCCAGAGAGGTACGCCCCGTGGACAGTGGCAGGGTGAGTGCCACACGTCGCCTCCCCTGCAAAGTGCAAATTGCCAATCGGCTTAGCCATTAGGTCGTAATCTCCTGGGAGTGCATGTGCCGCCACATAGGAGTAGCTGCCCCTAGTAAATTTATCGGACTTCCATCTGGTGATTATCGTCTCTAGTGGATCGGGAACCACCGTATGTTTGAATACATTGCGGAGTTGGCTGGTCACCTCAGCAATAATGTGATCATCAGGTGTACATTCCGCCTGAAGAGCGGCATCTCCGGCCATAAGAGCAATTAGGACAGGGAGTCCGGTAGTCTTCAAGCAATTCCAGAAAAGGTAGAATCGACCCCGGTTAGCAGCATAATCCTCTTGAAGGGTGCTGTTTCGATTGGGGGGTTCACGCAGAAGCCCGAACATATCTCGTTCAGTGTCCCAAAACGGTTGGTCAAATACCAAAATCACCTTGTTCAATACTCCAAACCCGAGTCGATCAATGGCTCCACGTTTCCATTCGGGGAGAGGAGGCTCAAACTGGATGGATTGATGCTTGAGAACGCCCAAGGAACCGGTGAAGACTACTTTGTCTGCCACAAATGATTCGCCGTCTTCACAGTGGATAACTGTCTGTTGTTTTCCCTTTCCAGATGGGTCGTATGATATCTTGGACACTATTTTGTTTGTTCGAACGTCGAGTTTTGTAGGTAATGAGAATAGCCCATATGGGACTTGTTGATACCCACCTACGACCTGCGAATGCTCGCCTTCGAACTCATTTCCTATATCTTGATCCCACCCGGAAAGACTAAGTCTACTGACGTTGGTCGCGTTTGCATATTCCAAATTGGCAAAGTGCCAGTTAATCAACCGCATGTCTTTCGAGGATAGCGGGAGCATCCGCTGGTATTGCCGGATGCCCTCATCCAGCACAGCACCTAAGGTTTGAGTTGACGAAACTTTAGCGACAGGGTCTAGATTTAAAGTAGCATTAGCTGGAACACCGTCGTTCAATCTCCAACCGTTCACTTGACACGTAAATGCAGCTGGCTGCTCCTCCGGGCGCGCAAGATCCGCACCCGGAGCTCCAGGAGCCTTGATGTCTGCGGTTTTATGACCTACGCCTCGGCGGACACGCTTTGTGGGAAGCAGTAGGCCGATAGTACCGGAAGCCCTTGCTTCTTCGTATTGTCCTACTGTCACACCATCGCTTGTTGACAAATCACGACCTGAGTCAATCAATTCACGGTCGCCTTCCGCGGTAGGGACGACGATTGATTTATATCGATAGAACCCTGAACGGTCCAGGACATCGTCATAGAGCCTTTCATCCATCGCGTCCTGGATCTCATCCACCGGTGAACCATCTATGTCATAGATTGTCGAGATGTCGCGTAACAAGTGATATGGAAGAGCCAACTGGCTCCGAATAATTGGGTCTAACGGATTACCACGGTCGAAACCAACAATTATATGCGCACCCATCTCGGCCTTAGGGACTAGTCCGGGGCCTAACTTAGACGTCTGAAGACTTTGTAAAGGATGTGAGTATATACGACCTCCAATTCTGCGTCTTCCTTCTAACAAAACGACCCGAGGATTTGTGGAAGCGTCGCGATAATGACGAAATAGATTCTCCAAGTGCCGTGCGCAACCTAAGCCTGACATTCCAGCCCCAATCACGACAACCACGGGACCTTCCTTTCGCCGGCCTTTCTTTGGAGTTACCAAAGGCATAGGAATTTCGACACAGCCGAAGTTGATGTACCCATTTCGTACCAGCCATTCATACGCGAAAGAGGCGAGGTTCATCCAACGGTAATCCTTTGCACATCCAAGAGCTTCCTCCTTGGAAACGCTTACCATGGGATTTCGAGTCCAAAGTCGAAGTATACCGTTCCGTATGTTCAAATACACCGTGACGTGCAGATGGCACAGATAATCCTGCAACGCTTCCTGCTCCTTTATATGCAGTGCGTACGGATTGAGTCTGGACGCATAAGCTGCCGAGACGCATTGCTGAGCGTAAACTGCAGCTGGAAGTCTTGAAGGTATGGAGGATCTTGGGCGATATTTCGGAAGCCCATTCTCGCTACCTGCGTTTTTAGTGTCTGCGACTAGAGAAGATGAAGAAAAATTGTTGATTGTTATCGGTGGGGCTGGTTTATTTTGACTCGGTTGAGACATAAATGAAGAAGTTATGATCGAATCGCTCGATCTACCATGAGCCGTAGCTGCATGGGCACCCTGAGACTGATAGTCTATGCTTTGGGACCTAGAGTCAACCCCCTCTAAAGCTGCTTTGCCTACCAGAAGACCTGGGTTTGAGTTTCTGTTTGGGACAGAATACAGATTTGTGATACTGGCTTGATTCAAATCGTTATCCAAATGGGAGGCACGGGCCTTCATCACGCTAGCGTTCAATTGCAGACTGCTCTTTGGCAAAATTTGGTTGGACGGTAGTAGGGCAGCATGGCCGCTGCCATTGAAGCTAATGTTTGTTGGGATATATTGGTCTAAATGAGTGGTGACCTCATAGGGTTGGCCATTCAGACCATGCGCTTTCATCGAAGCTGCGGCTCCCATATTGCTGGCAAGGGGTGCCATTTTGTCGCGGTATGTCTTGTAGCAATGAGATCGACTTTTTCCCAGCCCAGTAGGAGGTAACTATACAATACTGAGCCTGTCAATAGACATAACACTTCCATCATTTGAGAGTACAGGAATCTCAGATCTCAGCGTTTCTATCCATTGTGGGTCCACTCATCGGGAACCGTTGGTGGCAGGAAGGAGAGAAGCTTGATATAGGGATGTACGATTTCCTTGAGAGAATGTCAGAAAATGTTCTATGGTTGTTCATAAACTTCCAAAAATACGGTTATAGGGCATGAGAAAGGCCTCGAATCACATGGAGCAGGAGTCCATTGACTTACCTGAAATGTAGTTCGAGGGGTTATTGGGGGCAAGAAAAATACTGATTACCCGAACCCATCACTCTCCTTCTACAACCGATGCAGCCCTAGAGAATCACAGTGAACTGTAGCAGATCAACTGTCAATTGGGGTTAAACGCCAATAAAAGCGAGAGAGTGTGGGCCAGGAATTTGGTAAATCGCAGGGTGATGTGAAACCTGAACTCTGAGGCTATCGACAGTGATTTGGTATTGCGGAAGGGCCCATGCGTATTTTTCAGTCCGAACCACAAGTAAGCCACATTCTGCAGGCTGCACTTCCTCTCTGGTTCCCATTCTTCTCTCACTCAGTCCCTTGTTATCGGAACTGTCAGGCATATCTGATGACGCTGTAACTGACAAGACAGTAATTGGGGATAACCCTTCATAATCATCGGTGAAATCAGCATGGATTTTTTACCGGCATGCATGCTTGATGTTCTGACTTGCAGCAGTCCAATAGCGGCAAAAAGCACACGTGTTCCCCGAAATGAAGCGACTCCGGATCCCATATCAGTGTTAAAGGAAGCCAACAAGGCCAATACTAGTCATCTGCTATGCAAATGACCCTTTACTTCCAGAGATTTCTAAATCGGCGACATGGTGACGTTTCACAATCATAGCTCTGTCTAGCCCTTTCGGGCCTTCTTATATATACTTGGTCTAATTAATTTGCTTCGTCCACATAAAGCCAGCTCGGAGGCCAGGGGTGATGGCTTTCCTCGGACTTTGGCTAGAGCGCTTACTCGTTACTAAATTTATTGTTTCAGCGCGTCGTTATGCAAACTAGCCACCTACAGCGCGCATCTCCAGCGGACGGTGTTGAAAGTTCTCAAGCCATCCCTGTTGGGACGGGAAAAGTACGGGCACCTTCAAAGTATAGCCTTCGTTCCTCTAGATTCATGGTCACTGGGTCTAGAAGATGTAGTTGCTGTGGACCCCGGCGGCGGGAGAGGTTACGCCAAAGTCTCTGACTTTCGGAGCATTGATGACGGATGCTATGTCGCGGTTTCTACATGACTTTATACTAGAGATGAAGTTGCCGAAGAACATCAAGTCGAGAGAATTCTGTCGCCACCTTCTCGGGGCAGGGGCTCGCCAAGAGTATACGCTCAGTACCAGCAGAACATTACTATCTGGATACTACTCAGTTGAATGATCACCAAATGTTATGTTAGCCAGTACTTGCTGCAACACGGTATGCAGTACAACACCGATGTAACACCGAATTTAGAGCGTAGAGAATGTGCATTTTAAGAGGATCAAAAGAGTTCTATTCGCTGGTCCGTCACGTTATATTTCAATTGAGCTGTCTTAGGTTGTTGTTTCCTAAGATGGCTAGTGTTCGAATGCTTCTTTCAACTGTACGGACACACTCGCATGTATGATGCAACGCGGATGACTGCATTTTCTTGGTACCAGTTGTAATAGGATATTTGGAGTGAGACACTCAGGGCTTATTAAGATTCGATTCATCTACTATTTCGAAAACCGTGATAAACCGGGGCAGGATAGTATCGGGCTGGAGATGCATATTCTGGTGAGCTATATATATTATACAGCAGCGTGGCTTGACATTCCACAAGCATCTACACTTCGCAAGTTTACATCCCTCGTGTTATAAGGCTTTATATATCACTTGGCTGGAGAAAGGCTACTCGACTAATGGAAGGCTAACAAGTACAGCTTCTACCTCGCAATATCGGTGTAAACACAATGATTAGCATAAATTCCAGTAGCGAGTTTATTTGAGAACATCGTCTTAGGTGACGGTATTAATTAGTCAGTCTTTGTGGTTGAGATCTTGTTAAAATATACATACGACTGTGCTGGAAGCTTGTGAAGTATACAAAATCTAAGGCCCCGACAGTATCTCACAAACAAGCAGACAACACTTCAATACTTATAAATTTTCAAATTAAGCAATTCTTGTAAACCTCAATATGTGAAAACTAGGCAAACCAAGCCCATTATCACTATAGTATTCCACAGATTCGCCTTTATCGCCGCAGTACCAGAGCATCCAAATTGACCAATCTCTCGCGAGGACCAAAGGCAATTAGATAATTGCCCTTGGGTACTCTCCGTAGCATTGCAATATGCGGCACAACTCTCCTCGCCAAAGTAGCCTGTAGTACCATTTATTGCTTGGCAGCATTCTTCTAAGGTCGTGTAGGGGTCTTGTGCGGCATTCCAGCGTTGATAGATTGGTAGACCGCAGGTGTTGGGGTAGAGGAGCTCCGGTAAGCCTGTCATGTTTGCACAGCGAGCGGGACCAACAGATGCCATGTTGATGAGTGTGTATATGTCAGTGTGTTTTGGTATTAGCAAGCGTGGGCGCAGAGTCTTATGCTCTAGTTTTGAAAGTAAGTAGGCGTAACTATCTCGTGGGAGAGAAGAGCCTACCTACCGATGGTCGCTCGAAGTCCAGGGAATAGATGTTAAGTAACCATGGAGGATGTGTCAGGAGGTTAATAAGTATCTATCAGCTGATCGAAAACACGAGAAAGAATCTTTCAGACATTCAACATGAGGCAACTTAGGCGATGAGGGTTACATCACACTTCAAGTGTATGTTCCGGTACCCGCTAAGCAGATATAGAATCAAGTTGTGAGTGAATGAAACCAATTATTAGTCTTCAGGACGACTTGTTGCCCACCGACTAGTGTTTGATTGATTGGAGACGGGGAAGCTACTATAAGTTAGTAGTTTATACTCCGTAATGGAAACTGAAACCCTAGAACTGCCAAGCGATTGCCTCTGGTGATATTACACTTGAATCCGTAGTACTGGAGTGCATAATATAACCTAGCTAACATATCTCATAGCTTCGCCGGGCTTCATTGTTATTTTCTGCCACTACCACCCTTGATATCCATACTACTCGAGGTAAACTAGTCTCAGTCAGTACTTTACTTGGATCATCTTACTTAGATGTTAGTACAGACTTACTAGTCAAATTTGAGGGCTACTTATTACACAATTACCGAACTACCGTACCGAATAAAGAGCAGGTAAGCTGCTCAGTACAAATCTTGAGCACGCTCACAAAAGCGGCCGTGTCCGAAATAGGTAACCTACGAGAAGTCTAGAAAGCCCGGTGTGTATAGGTGAATATATTTATAGTTGTTTACCTTATCTAAGTGATCTCGCTTCTCCTACTGACTCCTACACGAACAGAACTCTTTTCAGATCGATAGGATTACCGACGGGAGATTGGGGTATGGGACTGGACAACCGAGAACGCCAAACTCCCCGAAAACTTTCAATATCGCAAACGATCCACACCACTGATAGAAATCTTATAGGACATGAACCGTGGCAGTTACCTCTATCGCAAGCCATGTATAGAACACAAATGCGGCTCCGAGCTTCAGCTCTTCTGCACGTGTGTATGTAGGCCATACGTCTCCCCCTCGTCGTCTCCATTCTTGAAGACGTCGTCAGAATCATTATCTGTGAACTCATCCCGGTAGGGGCCCCGGGTCTGAAGTCTGGGCGAGTTCTCCCCACCGCTCTCATCATCAATGGCCAGATCGACATTATCGTCATCGAAATCATGGAATCCGAGACGCTCCTCCTCGTCACGAGCAAGAGTTGTGGCGGCAGTGTTAACATCCGGGTCCTCAGAGAAGGCATGGTGAGGGCGGCGGTCAGCATGATCAGCCTGCAGAGATCGACGTATATCGGCCCTTTCCTGAGCCTCTAACTCTTTAGCTCGTGCCATGGTTCTGGAAATTATGTCAGCTTCCGAATTTCGCAAAGCAAATTGGTCGGAGACGCTCACCTTTTATATATGTACCAACCGGTGAAAATCCCGATCGCAACGGTTACGATGATGCTGCCGATATTCACGGCTTTAGAACCTGCGCTCATCTCCTCGCCTTTCTCGGAAAGTAAGCGGATCCGGCTGCCTACAAAGGCCGGGACAAGAAGCTTAGGGGTGACGATAGCCGTGGCAAGCCCATACATCAATGGCTGAACGGTCGGGAAAGTTGAAACAGCACCGTTGCATACTGAGTACGGTAAAGGACAGAGGCGAATCATACACAGTAATTTCAGTCCATCGTACTTCAAAGTCAAAGCAAGAGCTGCGAATCTTTTATCACGCTCCATCATTCGGTTGACGAATTTAGACAGGATAGTCCGAGAAACAATGAAGGAGCACGTAGATCCCAGCACAGTCGCAGAAGCGTACAGGAACCATCTATCAAGGGCGTCAGTGAGCCGGTCAAGATCAGGATCAAGACATAAATCTTACCCTTTCCATACGCCAAAGATGTAGCCAGATATGGTACCAAAGGTAGACCACCCCACCAAGGGTGGAAAGGAGACAAAGAATACACATAACCAGAGGACAGTGTATGCCCCCGCTGATTGCTCCCATTTCTCTGCTACAGGGCCAAGCCATATGAAGACTTTGCCTGTGAAAACCAGGAATCCAATTCCAAGGAGATTGGCAAGCAAAGCTGCTGCTGCTGCACCTACTTTCTGCCAAAAGCTCAATCTTCGCCATATTGCCATCATGCGCTGCGAGGTTTCATTCAACCGATGGGAGACCTGCTTCCAGAGGGTAGGACGCTCGGAGGAGTGGGCGGAATTGCTCCTGCCAGATGCCAAATGACTCCATGGCGGATACGAATCATTGTCTGCGGGTGAAAGCGATTCTGAAGGCGAGGTGGGGAGGGACAAAGCCCGAGCGGTAGATGTATAGTCGGCAGGCATCTTTGAGGAGTATAAGAGGGGGTGTTATGGTTATTCGAAAGCCGGAGAGACAGTCCAAGAACAAGGGTTCGCAGGCCAATGGAGTTCGACGACGGTTAAGTGGAAGCGGAGCGTAACACGAACGTGTATCTTATTGTTGCGTTTTGGATTTGGAAAGTAGTCCCCGATAGATCGCCTCGTTTCTGGCCGTTGATTAATTAGCGAGGGCGTATCTATGCCCCCAACGTGAGCTGATACATGGGATGTTGGAAAGGGATCGATGTTTTGCAACAAGTTTGGCTGGAAGGCGTTCCTGAATCGGTGGATAAAAGGAAGAAAGATTTACCAGGTAAAAGCTAAACAGCCATGATGGATCTTCAGTTGCGGCAGCAGATAGATAAAAGCATGCGATGACAGTTGAAACGTGGCATAGAGCCCCTATAAAGACGGCGATAGTTTGTCTGCCTGAGAGTGAAACGGAGGCAGTGCTATTAGTTTGGTGGTTAATTAATGGAACTGGCACAGTACTGCACATAGCTGCTGACTGTACGGTATGAAGTCACCCCATTACCTCATGAGTACCCCCGGTACGGTATTAATGTACTCAGTATCAGGTTACTATGACTTGCCTTCTGAAGCTTCGTTCTTTAAAACTACTACACTGTTATTCAGAATTTTGACTATACATTTCTATACCAATAAAACTCTGTTTCTCTTCATTATTGTAGGCAAAAGGTAAAAATAGCTACTATGCTTTCTGGTACATGCCTGTATGCAGCCTGCACCCAAGGTTCGTGATGATCAGTGGCCGTACCAGATAAGGAGTATATGTATGTATCGGCAGATCGACCAGTGATCCTGTTGGGCTATCGCCCGTGCCAAGACCCTCTGGTTTTGCCATCAGTCTAGATTTCATGGAAAGGCAGCAGCATGTCAATTTCCCCCACATTCATACCCAGCGACCTTTTTTGGGACGGGAAAGGGGAGTCAAAAAAAGGTAAAAGGCTATATTGTACCTTAATATATCGAACTCTATGGAAGAATCATCAGGTCGAGCAAATAAACATACTAAAGCAGAGAAAAATAAAAAAGAAGTATAGAACAAGTACGGCGTATTTAAATTTTTATTTTATAAAACAGAAACACCTCTCTTTCTCTGTAACGCCTAGTAGTCAAGATCAATCGAATGGATCCATATTGACAACTGTTTCCATTTGGGTTTAGTGCTTCAGTAAATCGGGGGGGGTGAACGAGAGGGAGGGAGAATTGGTGGTGCCTCAGGTTGGAGAACAAATGATCTATGGACAAAAGGTAAAGCTCTCGAACAAACATAAGTTTCCTTCTCCCCCCACCCCCCATTTCATTCCCACCTTGACACCCGTAACCGTACCTTTCTTCCCAACTAAGTTAAACTACTTACTCTACACCCGACAATTTCCTTCTTCTTCTCCTTCTCCTTCTCTTTTTTTTGCTTGCTTTTTCTTCGAATATTTCTGCTTCATTTCTCCCATTAAGTTGCCTTTATTCCTCTTCTTCTTTATTTCTTGGATGACCCCTTAATCTCGCCTCATTGATCGTTCGCTGCGCAGATGTGATGCGATTACCTGTGGTTTACAACACGTTTCCTGTCGCATCCTGCTAACATCTCTTATATAACATCTTGTTCCATCCATGATCATACAAAAGATTACCTCTCTGGACAAGGGAACAATGATATCTGAATGTTAAACTCCCCCCCCTCAGTTTGTGGTGGTGTTGCACGGTCTGATTCTTGTTTTCTATCAACTTGCTGTCTTACCCCTCATTTCCCTCCGCCCCTTTTACACCGCGTATATCTCCCCCATTATCAACACCCCTCAGTTGTATGATCGCCTCCACTCAATATGATTTCAGAAGAGCTTGTTGAGGAATGCCTCCAATCCCTTCAAGGTCAAAACTTCGACGAGGAAGAACAGGCCGAGAAGGCCGAGGATTTCCTGCGAGAGAAGACCTCCTTGTCAGGGTCATCCTTAGAAAACGCTGTGCTTGACGTCCTATGGAGGCATCGAAATCGCACCCTTCCAGATTCCTCCCCTCCTCCGCCCCGACATACAGTCATTCGCCGCTCATCCCCCGCCCCCTGGCAGATGGGTCGTTCGTCGACGCCGTTATCACCCCATTCAAATCTAGGTACGAGCCCGGGGAGCACCTCCTGGCTTCCTAACTCACGAGGCGGTTTCTCACGACCGGCGCTGTCCTCTACTGTATCACCATTTACTTCCCCGCGCCCTTCACCCAGGCTCGCTCTTGCCCAGCCGATCCCTCACTCCCCGAATTTAAACGCATACGAATTCTCCGACCACACCCAAGTGTCCGACTTCTATGGTGATTTTGGTAGCGACAGCAATGTAGACTGGCTGGTAGCCGATGATGCCAACAGTACTACCTCTTCTGTGGGAACATTGAGTGCTATTGGAAGCCTTAGTGCTACGGCTCCTGAATTTGTCCCGGATATGAGCCCCCATGATATTTTGCGCACAGTGCTCGGAGATAAAAGGACAAACGATGAGATAGAAGCTGCCCTTGAAGCAAACAGTTACGACTTAGGCGCGACAATTGCATCTTTGTCTCAAGGCCATGATGTGGATGGATTCGTCCATCACTCTGATGACACTCGCGTGATTGTCGGAAAATCTATGGCAATGGAGCAAGCAAAACCTGGAGGTTCCCCAGGCCAAATTCGTAGTCCGGTGGTCTGCAAGTATTGGTTGTCTACTGGCCAATGTCTCCGCGCCGACTGCCGGTTTAGTCACGACCTAACCAATCATCTTTGCAAGTGAGTCTGATGATGGCCTATGTAGACGTGTTCCAACAGACAGTGGTACTGACGATGTTACCCTCCTTTTATAGATACTGGGTTATGGGCAATTGTTTGGCTGGCGACGGTTGTCCTTTTTCGCACGACCCTTCAGCGCTCGTCGCCAATCTCAGCGTGACGGACGGCAGTCATCAAGGCTCACCTGGTCCTCAGTTCCACGTAGATAGCGCCTCTGAAGCATTCCCTCCTTTGCAATCTTCGCTAGGAGTGGGTGATCAATGGGCGGGCCAATACATTGGCAAATACCCATCTCATTTGTCGGGTCTAATGGGAGGCAAAGGCGTTCCGCAATCAATGCAGCTTGTCACGGGCAAACGAAATGGAAGTTCAACACATGGGTCTCGCCCTCATTCCCGACCTGGTAGCAGGCATCAAAATCGTGAATTAAACCCGGCCGCTCCGTCTGTGGATGACCCAGATGCATTCCCTACCCTTGCTGCTGTCAGCGCCAAAAATAAGAAACATCATGGTAAACGCGGCGCGCATAATCGTGAACCCAATTCAAATAAAGATAGTGTGCCTACTTCACTAGCAGATGTTGTACGCATGTCTCCGTCTCCCGCAGTTGGGAAGGGCAAGACCACATCCAGAAACAAAGAAGGGGCCAAAGGCCGCGAGAACAGTGCCGCTGCACAGTCTATCCCACCACCGCAAAACATCCCCTGGCTTGAGACAGGCTCGCGAGCCAACCAGCAATATATCAAGTACCGTACGGAAGCCATCCGCCATGGCACAGTAAGAAACAAGTTTCTCCAAAGGTAAGAGTCTCGAGATGTACCTCCGTCCCGAGTAAGCTGACTGTCTTTATAAGTGCGGCCCAAGCCTGGAATCGTAATGATGCTAGGGCGGCAAAAGCTTTATCTCTGCGGGGTCAGGCGGAGAACGAAGCTATGCGTAAGTGCCATCGAGAAGCCGCGCGGCAACTATACGAAGAACGAAATAAGCACATAGTCAATGCCGGTCTTGATGATACCTTGGAAGAGCTCTATGTAGATCTGCATGGCCTACACCCCGAGGAAGCAATTGAATACCTGGAGAAGATCCTCCTCAAGCATGCTAATGAAGGCCGGCGTGTTGTCTATGCCATCACAGGTACAGGCCACCATTCTAAGAATGGGAAAGACAAGATAGGAAAGGCAGTCAAGGCATGGCTGAACGAGTGGAAATACCTATTCCGTGAATTTAGCGTACCTGGAGAAAGGGGGGGGTATGTGGGTGGGATCTTGGGCATCGATCCCACGAGTTACGATAGATCTCTAGCTAAGAGTCTAGAAGACAGTGCTGACGCAAAAGCGGGTGCAGGAGGGAATACACCCGTGCTGACGATGGGCAAGATCCAACTGTTGAAGCGGGAGGATTTGGAGGTGAACCACTAAAACACACTTGAGGAAGGTCTTCCCATATATGAATTCAAAGTGAAAGGAACAGTACGTGTGTTGCGCACTACAAATCGCCTTTATAATTTGTCACGATATCAATGGTGTGCCCACCACCTTCCACCGCCAATCGTCTAATAAATGCAGAGTTGCAAGTGGCGGTGGCTTTCCCGCAGTCTGAACGCAAATTTCCCATGGACATCAGTCCCAGCAAGTATATGAATATATGCAGGAACTCAGGGAATGAAATAGATAAATCTCTTATCATCTTTTCCCGTGCATAGCATCTACTTTCTTCCGGCCATCTGTTTGTCCTTCTCCTTTTACTCCTTCAACACGGAGGCTGGCTAATAATAAAATATTATTTCAATATACGTATCCATTGGTGTTTCTTTTCCTGGCTGTAGGTGAGGCTTGCAGAAAAAGATCATTGTATGAAGTTAGAACGAAGAGTAATATTTACTCAGGCTCCTGGTCGCGCCACTTCGCGCGCAATTCTTCGACATTGAAACCGCAGGCCTCTGCCTTCTTCACGATTGCTCTCGCCTTTTCAGCAACTGGGACATCAATCATCTTTCCATCCAACGTCCAAGCGCCCCGCCCCGCAGCCGCGGCCTTGTCATCTGCAATAGTCACCCGCACAGCCCACTGAACCTCATCCGAATCCGGGCCAAAGATCTGCTGTACAGTCGGCACCTGAGAAGGATGGATACACTGCTTCCCATTGAATCCCAACTGCCTGCCACCACGACATTCTTCTTCTAAAACAGCAGGGGGGGACCCATCGCCCTTAGTTGATTTATAAGTCGTACAGACAAGATCAATAGTAGAAGGCAAATTGGCCGCCCTCGCAGCAGTGGCAATCATAGACCGGGCGAAAAGAAATTCAGTCAAATCGGGGGTCCGCGTAAGACTGAGGTCGAGGGCGAAATCCTCAGCGGCGAAAATCAGGCCCTGAAGGAGTGGCGTGGAGGCGCAGATCTGGGTCAGGTTGGTCAGGGATTTGGCCGACTCAACAAGAGCCAGGAGAGAAATAGGGGGTCGAGAGGAAACATCTTGAGACTGAGGCTGTTGGGAAAGAGTGTGGGTGATGACGTCGTTGACGAATGTTAGGTCGGAAGCTGAGTTTACTTTCGGGATGACGATTGTGCTTAGATTGGGGGATTGGAGCTGTTTTATTTTGTGAGCTGGTGGGATGGGGGAGAAAATAAGCAAGATCTAGATATGAACTTACTACTTCTGTTAAGTCTGCTAGGGCTAGACCGCTGTCTACGGAGTTGATGCGGACTGCTCGTTCGCGGATGCCTGAGGGTACGGGCTGGTCGAGAGCTCTCCGCACCAGGGAACGAGCTTCCGCTTTCTTGTGCGGAGTCACGCTGTCTTCCAGATCGTAGGCTACGCAGTCGGCTGTTAATGTGCGTGATTTGTCGATGAAGCGCTGCGATGAGCCCGGGACTGGATATATTAGGGTCAGCGATGGCTGTCTGGGTGGAAGCCTTGCGATGCGCTTGCAATCATCATGGGTCGTAGGGGCGAGGTGAAATGCGGGGAAGAGCTGGGAGAGACGTACTGTAGAGCAGTGCGCGACGGAGCGCATTTCTGGATGCCATTGTCGCTGGGTGGTGAGCGATTCAAGGCGTCTCTGTGTGTCTCTTGCTTCTCTTTAGTTCCGGCAGTGTTTCAGCGGAGTGAGGAGAGCGAGAAGACTGACGGCAGTTGAGAAGTAATTCTTTTCCTCCCTCGGCACGAGGGCATAAAGGCTTCTCCGGAATCTAGATTTCAACATTGTGAGATCAGTGGAGACATCCATAAGCTTATTTTAAAGGGAGGCCATGATGCGTCTCGCTCAATTGAAGCGAATTTGGCATTTCATGCCGCATGTGAGCTTCCTCTACAGGATAACTTATTTGTATGTCTGTAGGTATGTTCATACCTGAGAGATCATCTTATCAGTCCATCAAAAGCAAGCAGTACGTAAATAACCGCGTATCAAAAGCTCCACCGCCCGTATTCTGCCATGACTCACCGCCCTGTCATGGAGACACGCAACATCATCGCATTCATTCCGCCCTGTCGACTATTCTTCCTGAGAAGAAGAGTGAAGTGAGCGTAATTGCTCTCCTGTCTTTGTCGTTAGCTTTCTTGCTCGCCCTCTTAAATAGATACTAAGGCTTTTCCCTCCGTCGACATGGAGCAACAACCCCTTAATCCTGAACCCCAGCAGGGGGATCTCAACTGGCGCCTGAGTGCGCACCCGATTACGTTGCTTTGTTTCCTGGGCTTCCGCACCAGTGCCCTACTGATGTACCTATTCGGGGTGCTGTTTATTAAGAATTTGTATGTGCCTTTGTTTTGTTCTTGCATAGCTCACTCCTGCAATATAATACCTACCCCTCACCTCTCGTGGGCTATCTCGGAGATTTCCGCCCCTGAATATATGGCCGATCCCATCTAATCTGAATCTACAGTATTTTGGTCTTCATCATCACCTTGCTTCTCCTCGCAGCGGACTTCTATTACCTCAAAAACATTGCCGGACGTCGCTTGGTTGGTCTCCGCTGGTGGAACGAAGTGAACACTGCGAGTGGTGACTCGCATTGGGTGTTCGAATCCTCGGACCCAACAACTCGTAGGATCGCAGCTACAGATAAGAGATTCTTCTGGCTTAGCTTGTATGTGACGCCTGCGCTCTGGGTTGGACTGGCGATTTTGGCCATCATTAGACTGAGCAGTGTTATTTGGCTGAGCTTGGTTGGTGAGTATTGTCTTGTCTTCTGTCACGCTCGGTTTCCGATACTAATTGGTATGGTATAGCTATTGCCCTCGTCTTGACAATCACCAATACCCTTGCTTTCTCACGGTGCGATCGCTTCAGCCAAGCGTCCACCTTTGCCAACAGGGCACTTTCTGGAGGAATTGTGAACAACATTGCGGGGGGTTTGCTGGGCAGACTCTTCAAGTAAGCAAGCAAGTCTTGAACTTTGTGCATTGTATGGCCGTCTTTCCTCCTTTTATACATCTGGATGTATTTTACAAATCACGTGCGCGTTATGTATGCTCCTAAAATTCAGGAGCCTCTCTCATTATGAAAATGAATGCAACATGTTCGGTGTTTCACTTGGTTATTCCTCGCCATCTTTATATCATCTTTAGTCATCTTGAGGGATTTTTTTCAAGTCTTGAGCTTGGTGTCAAATCATTGGTTCACATTTCTCACAAGGGGTTGACTCGTCTCAAACGCCGCGCGAGTCGCGACCACAATTATTAGCAGGAGCTATGCCAAAGCTGACATGACTTGTGCACAAGAAAAGGGTACTAAACTCGATAACCTATTTAGCTTGAAGGAGTCTTGCTATTAGACTCATCACTATAAGGCCCTCTTCCCAGGAAAGGAGCATCTACCTACATCACAACCTCTACTACCCCCTGCTATTCGCAATCTGAAATTGCCTCTCGGGCTTGAAAACAGATCCTTACAGTAAAATAGACAGTATACAAGGAATAAAAAACAAATGCTTATCTAGGCAGAACCCAAAGTCTCATCTCTAAGTGACCAATTCATCCCAACAACAAAACTCCCTGGAACCAACAACTCACAGCAAAAAGGCCAATGCAACCCACCCATCCATTTACAAAAAATAACAACAAAGGCACTAGCCTGAGAAGATAACGCGTGACTCTCGGGATTCTGATTTCAGGGGAATGGAATAGGGAGTGACTGTGCCGCAGTACATACATTAGCGTCTTTGGTATTTATTCACTAACTAGTGAGTGCTCAGCCTACTGACAAGGATGTTGAACAAACACACGAGGCTGGGGTTCTCTCTATCCAGGTCCATTTGACATGGCTCTCAACGCCGCCAACGAAAAAAAAAAGGGATTTATTACAGATAGTCTCAGTGTGAGTGCTGCATGAAAGTTGGACGAATATCTAATAGCAAAATAAGACATGACATCAATATAACTGCGTATACAGACTACATACATATATCTCGGGATACGGTCCATTCTCTCAGGCCCTAAGTCTACCTTAAATCTAAATCCAAATCCAACTTCAACTACCAATTTCACAACCCACCCCAACTAACAAATAAAAAGAGAAAAGGGGAAAAGGTACCTAAAGAAAGAGATAATCCCAATCTCACCGCAACCCCCTCCCTCCATAAAAGCTCACCTGCACAACCCCCAAAACAGACAAAAAACACCATATCTATCCATGGTTCCCCGACCAAGCTAAATCCTAGTCCCCATCATCCATGTATCAGTTCTCCCCTGACATCCAAGCACAACAGGCTTCTATTCGCTGCGGGCCTTTCTCACCTCTCACCCTTAGTTGAATCCTATTTCCGTACTTTTGGACAGGGTCATGACTCGTACGAGGCTGCGATGGTGTGCATTGTGTACACACAAGGCTCTAGGCAACCATTGTGTCCCTTTTTCTTTGTTTTTTGTTTTTTATCTTTCTTTCTTTCCATTACAAGGCATGGGTCTGTTCTCTTAGGTCTGTTTTTGGTTTGCAGCCTTGTACATTTGAAAAATAAAATAAAAAAATACAAAGCATTTATACGAATTACAAAAGTGAATTTATGAAAAAAAAAAAAAAAAAAAATACTCGGGGAGAAGAAGCTTTAACACAACATTATGATACCTACAAGAACCAAAAGGAAAGGATAAAAATTTCCTCTCAAAGCACAGATCACAAGCCTCCCAGTATATAAAACTCAGCTTTCCACCTCACTGCCTCAGCCTTGAATTCCGATTGATCCTTTCTTTTTCTTTCTAGATGCAGACCAAAACCAAGAGGAAACGATTGAGTCGCGGTGGTCGCTGGACGGAAGAAGAGCGACTTCAGCTGGTGCGGCTGCGTGATCGTAATAAGCATCTGGCTTGGGATCAGTTTCAGAAGGTGAGTTCTTGTATGCTTCCTTGGTTGTTCATATACTCTGGTATTGTGTATGTGTGGGAGGTTGCTGATATAGATCACTTCATTGCTAGATATACTTTCCGCGACGGTCCTATATGGCTCTGACGAAGGCTTATTCGGTGTGCTTTCTTTCTTTTTTTTTTTTTTTCCTTCCTCTCCCTTTCTTCGTATTACTTCATTCAGATATACCCCAGTTGACCCCTTTGTGTCCCTCTCTTGTTGGATGTTTGTGTTGGGTTGTTTGGGTAGAAGAGGTTTACTGACCGGAGGGATGTGTGTATGTACAAGGATATGAAATTGAAACGACATCCAAGGGACAACACAATGGTGTGCATTCCATCCCTCGGCCGCCAGAACCAGAAACAACATTTGCTTACCCGTCCGATTGTCGCATGCCAGACCAATCATACTAGCAATGAGACGATGCTGCCACCCAAGACCAACAGGCCAAACAAACGACCAATTACTGACGAGCGCTCTGTCAATGAACGAGCCAATAAACAAGCTAAGACAGCCGAGAGAGATCCGAGCTATGTGCCTGAGGAAGACGGCGAAGGTTCGCAATTTTCGGAGGGCGAAGATATTGCTCATGATAGCTCGGTATGTCACCCTTCGTCTAGTCAAGCTCAAATAGAAATTGCTAACAAACATGCAGTTGAGCCCTGTGCATGGTCGAACGAGAAGTTCGGCGAACTCCTTGGCAAAGATTAGAGCCCAAAACGTCGCGATACGGCCAATATCTCAAAATCCCAGGAATACCACGAGCTTACAGACAGGTGCATCAGATAAGGCAGCTTCGGAGTCCCCTAGCCGGGCTAGACCAACTAGGGGCCCTGAGAGGATTCTAGGCTCTGTTCGCGATAGAAATCCTGTGTCGACCACTACAGCGATGCAAAGTATCAGCCCGCCCAAAGCCAATCCTAGCGATCCCCCTTCTAAAGCTTCGCAGCCGGGAAGGGCCACTTCGCAAATAGAAAGCCTGGATTCGGGCACCACACACGACCTATTTTCCAGCCTTGTGAAATCTATTGCTGATCATAGAAAATCGTATGAATTGTTGCCAAAATTCCCTGAGAGGCAAGGGAGTGAGCTCATTACGTGGAGTCTTCTCGGCATGATCTCTGATGCTCTTTCTTATCCGTCAGCTCAGCTACGTAATGAAAAGCAAACACGAGAGCTTCAGGAATTCAGGTCTGAGATCGACACACGTAAAAAGGGCCAAAAATCCTTGGAGGCAGAGTTATCGAAGGCCAAGGCAGAGCTATCGAAAGCCAGGGGCGAGACAGCTAAATTAGAACAACAAATCAAGTCAACTCAATCTCAGGGTTGCAAAGAATGTCGCCGACTGCAAGAGCGAAATACGACTCTGGAAGAGAAGCTCAGCCTTTTTAAGCGCGTGAGTAGGCAACTTCTCTCTGGCTCAGAAGAGAAACAGCCCCCTCCTGGCTCGTCGACGTCTACCACAGCGATATCTGGTTGACAGGAAGCTGAAGCAGCTGTTGTTAACCTATTTTAGTTCAGGTGTACTGTGTGGTCACTGTATTGTTTGAGTGCTCTGTTTGATCGCTTCATAGCGAAGGATGTGTGTGCGAATGGCAACCCTGACTTACCACATTGCAAATGACATACCATAGATACATATATAACACAAACAATTCCATCATAACAAAGCTCTTAGAAGTTCCAGAGCATAGCAAGACCGGATAGAAGGTAAAAGGTTCAGGATGGCAATAACTTTTGCACTATCATTACCAAAGTATGTAATAAGATGGAAGGAGGATCTTGCAGTGCCCACGCGTGCCGCAATTAGTGACGAGATAACTAGTGCTCCTCGAGCTCCTCCTCCTCACCATACTCTCCAATTTCCTCCTCATCATCGATAGAGGCTTCCTGATATTGCTGGTATTCCGACACCAAGTCATTCATGTTGCTTTCCGCTTCCGTAAACTCCATCTCGTCCATACCCTCGCTGGTGTACCAGTGCAAGAATGCCTTGCGACGGAACATGCTAGTGAACTGGTTGCCGATACGCTGGAACAACTCCTGGATGGATGTCGAATTACCAATGAAAGTTGAAGCCATCTTCAGGCCCCTAGGAGGCACGGAGCAAACCGTGGTTTGGATATTGTTCGGGATCCATTCAACGAAGTAGCCGCTGTTCTTAGTCTGGATGCCACGCATTTGATCTTCGACCTCCTTCGTCGAGACTTTTCCACGGCTGAATCCCAGTTAGTCTTTGCAATCATCACCTGTGGGGGGAGACCTACAAGATCGCGGAGCAAGTCAAAAAGCGGCCGTTGTGGAAATTAGCTGCAGCCATCATGTTTCTGGGGTCGAACATCTGTTGGGTTAATTCAGGTACGGAGACTGCGCGGAATGAATGGGCTCCTCGGCTGGTCAGTGGTGCAAAGCCCACCATGAAGAAATGAAGCCGGGGGAAGGGCACCATGTTCACAGCCAGTTTTCGCAGGTCTGAATTGAGTTGACCAGGGAATCGAAGACTGACGGTAACACCAGACATGACTGCCGAGACCAGGTGGTTGAGGTCACCATAGGAAGGAGAAGACAGTTTTAGGGTGCGGTGGCAGATGTCGTAGAGGGCCTACGCTGATTAGAACACATCGTCACTTATAGAAGTAATGATCTCGCACCTCGTTATCGATGCAAAACGTCTCATCGGAATGCTCCACCAACTGATGAACAGATAATGTGGCGTTGTACGGCTCCACCACCGTATCCGAGACCTTCGGCGAAGGCGCCACAGAAAATGTAGCCATCATGCGATCCGGGAATTCCTCACGGATCTTCGAGATCAAAAGAGTTCCCATACCGGAACCAGTACCACCTCCAAGGGAGTGCGTGATCTGGAATCCTTGCAGACAGTCACAGCTTTCGGCTTCACGACGAACCACATCCACAACAGAATCAACCAACTCAGCACCTTCGGTATAGTGACCCTTTGCCCAGTTATTTCCCGCGCTTGACTGGCCGAATACGAAGTTGTCCGGTCGGAAAAGCTGTCCAAACGGACCAGCACGGACGGCGTCCATCGTGCCGGGTTCCAAGTCCACGAGGACCGCGCGGGGAACATATTTCTGGTTGCCGACCTAGTAGATTGGTGAGCGGCAGCAGTACATACGATTTAGAGAAGCTTAGCAACCTCATTGAAATAGACATTCATCCGCTCCAGTTCTTGGTCGTTCGAACCAGTGTACCTGAGAATCAATTAGGAGAAGTCCGTCACGTCATGGCCCATATTACTCACACTCCAGACGCGTCGAGGCCATGTTCGCCGGAGATTATTTGCCTAAACAACGTCAATATGCGTTCCATCAAGAACACCCTGCTTGTTAAGCATGTGAAAAGGATGGATCAACAATGGACTTACCAGAAGGCCGTACCAACTTGGTTACCCTAAAAGAAAGAGCACAATGACTCAGTTATTTTGCATGGTATGTCGTAAGTGGTTTACTTACACACTGGCCAGTTTGGAGGTGCACCTTGAGGGAGTTAGCATTGTCATGTTATTCACGTTGAAGATGGAGTGGCGGGGGAAGAGTGGGGAAAAGAAGAGCTCCGTGACTGCCCCAAACAAACTTACGATTTCACGCATTGTGGAGAAGGATAAAGTATCGTAATACAAGAAGGTATTAGAGGGTAAGGAAAAGGGATTGTAAAGGAGAAGATGGGATTGAGATACGAGAGACGGGGGTAGAGGTGATGTTGGGCAACGAAGAAGCGGGAGGATTTATTTGGGAGAAGAAAAACAAAAAGGTTAGGGAAACCGTGATCCGTCAGTCAGGTGTCCGTCAGGCGACATTTAGGATTGTGTTGCAGTTTTTATGTAAAGTCGTAAGTAAGCAGTGCATTTGGTGCTAACGGCATTTTGACACCTTTTTGAGCGAATTTGTCTGGGCCTATGGATTCTTTCGATTCATCCAGCCTTTGGCCCAAAGTACACTAGTCCCAACTTTGCTTTTTGTCCGTGTTATCTTTCCTTTTTTTTCGCCTTTTTTTTAGCTCTTTAATTTTCAATAACATTGGCAACTCAACCGTTCAATTCTGTTTGAAATTGGACCTAACGATGACAGGAGCAAACAATAAAGAGTAAAATCAATTCGAGGTTGATCCGCGGGTACCCGAAAGAAAATATAATTTATATATAGCCTTTTTTTCCAATTCACTCCGGATAATGTACAAAGCAACAACAACGAATGTATACGTATGTTGCTCACCGCTCCATTCCAACCCCCCTTTCTTCTTATTTGAGATCGTCCTTTTGGAAGAGTTCGACCGGAGTCGGATACGGACCCGGGATGTGGCAAGTTAGGCACCTTGCGGGTCAGACAATAAAATACCTGGAGGACCGGAACCCTAGTCGACAATCAATACCTACTAACGCTAACCCATCGTGGCTTAAAGCTCACCACCCCTAGGACTGCCAGCAATCGTCGCTTAGAAATAAGACCTCTCTGAAATTGGAGACTGGCATGCTTTCTTACAATTTGGATCACTTCGCAGGCTAATTTTCATAAGGTTAAATCAAAGGAGTGGCATCATTGACCTACTACTGCTTAGTTATAGGAGCAAACAGCAGGTGAATACAGAAACCAAGAGCGTGCTCGAGCTTGGAAGGGATGCTTCGAGCAATGATCTCAATACAAATGCTAAAGTATCATCACAGATGAACCCATGGCCGACGCTGCTTTGCCAGATCCTCTGGGAGATACATGGGCACATGCTACATTAGCCATGCTTCATCATGAGTGCCATGCATACATACCTACAATTAATGATCTTGGTTTCATTCTCAATGGCGATGACAATCTTATGTGTCACCTAGGACGGTATGCAGACGACCTATCGTTCAGTAACGTTAAACAAACAGTACCAATTTAAGCATTTGCCATCTGCCGAGACATTCACTCTCCCAGCCCCGGCCAGTATCTCCACCGATGAAACAATGAAACGTGCCGCTATAGTGGATGGTTCTTTGCATCCAGTGTTATGGTCTTCGGACTGAAGGGATTAATCCCACGCTGTACGACTATACGTGGTGATCGCTATGATTTCAGCGGAAATAGTTCCTACATCGGATGGAAGAGCTGATCCACTGTGACCTCAATGCATCTTCACATGGAAAATGCGCCATAAGCGTTGCGTGAACGAGAGTAAAGACACACTCGCAGCATCAACCCAAAAATATTGGCAATTATACCCGAAACTGTTGTCACGTAGGTCTGCTGGCTGGCCAGACAACAGAGATAGAAAGACCAACTGCATGCATGCGACAATAATGGCTCTGGTTAAGTGTCAAAGACTGAAAAGTTCCCAGACTAAGAGCAGGTGTTTTGAGACCAATCTTCCATCCAGTTAATTAGGGTCTTCTTTAGACTAGGCCAGACCTCAGCTCATTAAGCTGAGAAAGGAAAAAAAGAATTGAGGCACACCCGATTTGAACGGATAACCTTTCGATCTGGAGTCGAACGCGCTACCGTTGCGCCAGCGCCCCAACTGGTTGAAATTTTCTGACATAGTAAATTTTATCAATCAAAAACAGGTAATGTGCACCAATCTCATGTATGTTTTTTGAACATAGGTTTCTGACTAGTTTCTCGCTCGAGCTCTATCCCATAGACTTAATATTTCTGGTATAGGGTATCCGAAAGTATTTTCAATCCAATTTAGGTACACTACTCAGCTTTCCAGTGGCCTTTCAGATAGCGTCCGTTGCGGTTGTACTATATCGTATTATGGAAATATATAGCAAAGTATGGACTATATTTTACTCTGTTCGCTACACTCGTCTTGAGAAGGAATGACCATGTGGATCGGCATCTTATCATTAAGAAGCTTACCCTGGTGGAAATCAAAGGTCAAGAAACCAGTCTACAGCCCCCTCTCAACAGCATCAGCCATACCTCCAAGTGTATCAAACTTCCAATCATAAACTGTATCCTTCAAGTTCCCCATCAAAGCTCCTGGCCTTTCAATCCAAGAAGACTTAAGCCCCATCTTCTTCGCAGGATGATGATCATGGAATTGGCTCTGCGCCGTCTGCAGCACCTGTTCCGCCTCGACCCCAAACTGATCCTTAACAGCCTTCAGCATATGTTCAAAATTAGCCAGTTCAGGCTTATACGATCCCACATCTTGCGCCGTAATAATCAAATCAAATGGAAACCCCTGCAAGCTGCCAGCGTTGGTCTTCTGGAACGACTCCCGGTCCACATTTGAAAGCACGACCAGCTTGTAGTGTTTCGACAGACGCTTCAGCGCCTCCACGGTATCCGGGAATGCAGGCCACTGGCCGACTGATTCGCCGAATTGGTTGCTTTCTTCTGTGGTGGGCGGGTTAAGGCCCAGGCGGGAGGCAAGTTGCGGGTGGATTGTGGAGAGAAGTTGTGAGTAGGGCATGCCTGGGGTTTTGGTTTGTTGGGCTTTCTCGAGCTTCTGGTAGAGCCTGAGGTAGCTTTCTCGTGTTATTTGCGCGTTGTTTGCGGTTAGGGTTGGTTGGATTGCGTTCCAGACGCCAGTTTCCCAGTCGATTAGGGTACCATAGACGTCGAAGGAGAGGAGACGGTAGTTGGTGAGTTTGGACATGGCGGTTTGTCTTGGGGTTTTTGATTTTGGAAGAATGATAGAACGATATTAGTAGTTGGATGACTTCATGTTGTCCCTTTCGTGGTGAGGGTTTATATGACATGTGTATAGTCTTTGGCCCGGGTGCGGTTACCCGGCCGGAATTCACTGCAGGGAAATATTGCCTCAACTCCCGGCTCGGGTGTTGGTGTGTATCAAACAGCTAGCCGTTGTCTCATTATTCGAAGATGACTTGTATCATGGGTTACTGGAAGCAGACTCCCCGTCCGGACAAGGAGAAGAACTCGGAAAGCTGTCAGGGTCGATGTTTCAGATAAAAGCCGACTACACAAGCCCCCTTTCTATGTAGATTCAATCAGGGCGAGCAAAACATCCACTTTACACATATTAGTGTATCTCCAAGTCTCAAAATGACGGTCACTTCCGAGCCATCCTTACCTTCTATGCAGACGACAGTTCCCGGTCCGTTAACTAATGCTACTAAGTCGAAACTGGATGTCATTTTTGATGCCCGAACCCCGCAGATGGTTATTGACTATGACAAAAGCTCTGGAAGCTAGTAAGTTTAATTTTTGATACTCAACCATATGAACAGTTGTGACTTATGCCCCCTAGTTTAGTCGACATAGATGGTAACACCTAGCTCGATGTGTACGCTCAGATTGCCTCAATCCTCGTGGGATACAACAACCCCACGCTGGTGAAAGCCGCACAATCACCAGCAATGATTTCAACACTGGTTAATCGTCCAGCCATTGGCAACTTCCCCTCTCAGCAGTGGTTTAATCTGTTACGCGATGGCCCCATGCGCGCGGCTCCACCCGGATGCACCCAGGTTTTCACAGCACAGTCGGGGTCTGAGGCCAACGAGCTAGCCTTCAAGGCCGCATTCATGGCCTATCGCCGGAAGCAAAGAGGAGTTGCACCTTGGTCCGAGCATGAGCAGGAATCTGCCATGAGGGACCAAACTCCCGGATCCCCTGATCTGGCTATCCTCAGCTTCGAGAACTCTTTCCACGGCCGTGGATTCGCTAGTCTGTCTACTACTTGCTCCAAACCAGTACACAAAATTGATATTCCGTCTTTCAAGTGGCCCCGGGCTTCTTTTCCTCAACTGAAATACCCTCTGGAAGAACACGAAGGGGAGAACCGTCGCGAATAAGAGCGTTGTCTGCACGAGATTGAGCACGTCATTGATTCGTGGCACTGCCCTGTGGCTGGGATCATCGTTGAGCCAATTCAGAGTGAAGGTGGTGATAACCATGCCTCGCCGGAGATTTTCTAGGGCTTGCAGGCTATTACAAAGGCTCGTGGAACTTAACTGATTGTTGACGAGGCCCAGACAGGCTTCGGTGGTACGGGCAAATTCTGGGGCCATGAGCGTTGGAATCTTTCCGCCCCTGCTGATATCGTGACTTTCTCTAAGAAGGCACAGACTGCGGGCTACTTCTTCAGTGACAACTCTCTTCGTCCTGATAGATCTTACCGGCAATTTATACGTAAGACTGAGTCCGGCTTCATAGTGTTTGGACGAGACAACTGACTGATGGATCTTTTAGGTGGATGGGTGATGTTGCGCGTGTAATCATGTGTAATGCAGTGATTGACGAGATACTCAGCGAAAATCTAGTAGAAAAGACAGTAAGTTCATCTTACTTAGCTTTACGTCGCGCTCTGACATTTCCAGGCTCGCGTGGGTGAACCTCTTCATGAGAGGTTTGCTACTCCGGCCACGAGATATCTAGATTTCATATAGAACCTTCGCGGCAAGGGCAAGGGAACTTATCTTGCTTGACACCCTCGACTCCAGTACCTTGCTAAAGGAAATGCGCAATCTCGGAATTAACATTGGAAGCTGCCGTGTATCAATTATTAACTGCGTCCGGTGCTTATCTTCTGAAAAGAGCATATTTCCCCGTTGATAGAGGCGTTTGAGAAGGCTTTCACGAAGCTGGGAAGGTTATAAGCTTATATGAGCATACACATATAGCATTCTGAGAGTCTCTTAGTTTGAGGTACTCTGTCCCCCAGATTTAGTGATGGTATATCTTTTTCTGCCAATACTATATTACGCACAACTCGGGAAATGCAAGCACGGTTCGTATGGCATTGCTCGCTAAGTTCTGTAGACTGTTGACTAGTTGTCCGTCACTCAGACTTTGTCGGCTTTCTTAAATATAGAAGATTATCATTGGAGCTTGATGGATCATGATAGATATGCGCATGATCTGTGATCATAAACCTAATGCCTAGAACTAGGCTCAACCACATTTCTACTTCGAGCAACTTGGTGAACACTCAATCCGAGTATAGCCGGCATATTCAATGGCAATCTGATGCCATCTGCGCTTCTTGGTGCAATGATCTAAACAGTCTTCCTGCTATAATACCCTAAGCTAATTCTAGCTAACTAGTATTTATCTATACTTCAGCTAAAACCAAGAATATTGTGAGGTGTCTTGAGGTATAAGGCGACAGGTATCTACGCTCTAGAAATGGAAATAGATTAATTTGCTATAGAATATAATACATATTCTTAAACAAGTTTAGCAACCTGTTGGGGCGCTGGCGCAACGGTAGCGCGTTCGACTCCAGATCGAAAGGTTATCCGTTCAAATCGGGTGTGCCTCAATTCTTTTTTTCCCCTTTCCCGCCCTGCCTTGTAAACTATGTTACTACTATGTGACGATATTAAAGATTGTACATACAGTGTTTGTACTATCCAGTATCTTTTCCTTACAAAACTTTGCTATGACAGGTACAGTTGCTAGCAATTTCTGCCTGAAAATACGTACTCCATCCTCTTTAACCCGGGTACATGCACCCGAGCCCTAGTTCCTTGTTCTGGTACATACCAGAAGTACATAAAGAAGATGCAATGCAAACAAACTTAGACGGAAAAACACAATAGATACTCCCAAATGAAACAAGATATAGAGAAGAACAACAATATCACCAACAATAACTGGAGACAACCTGATCGTAACGTATATAGAAAGACTCAATACTTATGAATATTCCCCTCCACCTGAATCTTCTCCGTGTCACCGAGGCGCTTGAGGTTGGGATGGTAGGTGCTAATATGGATATCATTAACAATGTGGTAGCTCCGTAAGTGACCTTTATCTGGTGACTCAAGTGGAACTTCTGCTAACCAAGTCAAACAGATTCGGTGGTGTCAAGGAGAGCGGGTTTGGAAGAGAGGGAAGCAAGTATGGAATCGATGAGTTCACCCACGTCAAGACCATTACACTCGGAGGTCTAGCGTAATCGTCGTTGGAAATATCTCTATCTACTATATATCGGGTTGAAGGGTAAATAGCACAGCATTCAAAAATGGTATATGTCCATATATTGACATATCTAAACGATGTATTCCAGTCCATAAGTGATTGCATACCCTCACGCTACCAAAAAAAAAAGTTACTCAAACCAACAAGCATCTACAACTTCTTATACTCATCCAACAACCCAGTAGTCCATCAATGGAGCTACGGCACACCCTTCCATACTTAACAACCGACAGGGTCTCTGTCTCCCACTGCTAAAGCATCGTAATATCCTCCAGCGGATTATCAAGCGCCAAAAGACCCGTAAAAACACCTTCTTAACCTGTCCTAGCATAGGCTAATTCATCATACAAGCTGGATTGATAGTGGCACTCCTCAAACTGTCTAAAGATGGTAGCACCTGTGCGCATATCCCAAACTCCCTCGACTGGGTCGACTAATCTAGTATTGACCAGTAGGATCGAGGGTGATTCCTTCTTAGGGATCCAGGGCTTTACAAAGTTGGCAGACACCGACATGTTGACTAGCAAGATTGCACTGGTAGTACGTATACATATCACCTCTCACGCTCCTTTGTTTGGCCTAATGGTAGCTGGCGTCAAATACACAGGATTTTGGTTCCAGATGAAAATGAAGGGTCTACTACCCCAAGAAAGTCTGTCATCTCCATCTGGCATGTTCACCTCCATTTCATAAGTATCTCTGTGTCGTTAGATATCAAGGGACAGAGCTCATATACCCGACAGTTATAGTCCAATCAGTCGCACCTTCGTGACGTGGCACCGACCTAATAGATATGGCCGAATACGACATGAGATATAACCTTGACAAGGGATTGCCGCGAGGGATTCATACAGAGCAAAGACGTAGGCCATCTCAAACGTCTAATGCTATCCTCATATGCCGCCGTCAAATGGGAGCATTCGGGTTTGGAGGGAACGCTGGTAGTGATAAGTCATCAGGCCATAGCATGGTTGGCAAGTTTTCGCCAAACTGCATCCCTGTTTCTGGAAAAGATGCAAAAGCTCCAAGCTCCTGGGGAAAGGAAGAAAAGAATCCGTCAAAAGATCCGGTTGGCAATTGTGCATTTTCGAGCACAATGTGTTCAGATTCGTCTCCTACATTGGATGGAGGGGTCTCGGATTGCCATAGCATAGCCCAGCGCCTAAACTGGTTGTATCCGACGCCCGATTCACCAGAGGCTGTGTCTTCATTTTCTGTTCGGTTGTCCAGACGCTGGGCTGCGCGCTCAAGCGCCTCGATAACTGCCACTTCTGAACGAGCTGACTGAAGGCCAACACACATCCGGCGTATCAGACCCATGCCTTGCGTAAGTGCTCCACGCAGCCGCCCCGTTCGTGTATTCAAGCTCTGGGCGATAATAGCCAAGAGCGCCGCACGGCAGGAGCTAAATTCAGTATACGAAACTCGTGCTACACCGACAGTGTCCTGTAGTAATTGACATAGCTCGACGATTCGGAGCGCAGCCTGAACGCAGTCAGAACACAACATTGCACCGGTATCTACGGCTGAGTCGGAGCCGCCCTCAGCAGAGGCCAATGAGCTTGGCGTGCCGGCAAGAATCAGGGGACGGCCCAGGTACATGATTATGGTAGCGTATGTCAGTTCCAAGTGGACATTATAGCGGAAAAGCGGCTTGGAGGGATCAAGGTCCCGGCAGTGCACATCTTCGGGCAGGGTGGCCCACCAGCTCTTGAGTTCATCGCGTACATGTAGGAGCTGCTTAAGATAGATCTGATGTAGCTCCCCAGGACAATTTCGCAGCCGGGATCTAGATATCCGATAAAAGAGGTCAGCAGATGGAACAACTTGGTTAGAGAATTGGTTCCTTACATGATGGGTGCAACTTTCGCAAGCTGCTCAGTCAGCTGGAGAGTGGCAGTGAGATTGGGTAGATTTGTGACTCGGCCCGAGGGACGCAATTCGGGTATGTCTTTAGGCATGTCACAGTCTATTTCAGTTGGGGACACGGAGACTGGGCGTCCGTGAAGGATGCTGATCCGTCTATGTATGGTAAACAGTTAGAATAGAGATAACAGCTAGCGTTATTGTGCTCTCCCTCACCTATCCAGTGCGTACGCAGACCACCAAAGACGATTACGCAATTCAATCGTGCGTGCATCTAGACTTTCCTCTCCAAACTGACGGTGCATACCATTCTGGATAGCCATTTTTATGGCAAGTCCAAGGTAAGTGTAGGCAAGACCGGAGGTATCAATTGGCATTGTATAAACCCCGAATAACAAAAACGCCTGGACAGTTTCGACAGAGGCGGTGGTAATAAGATCGGGGATTAGGCGGCACGAGAATCTATAGAGCGCGAGACCAATGGTATCATCAGGTAGGTGATCTTCACCGGACATACTCTGCAAGTATGGGGGTCGGCTGGCATGCATGTAAGCGAACTGAGTCCCAGATGCGAACGTCATAAAAAGGGTACAGATCCAGCCAGCGTCGTTGATATCTAGATACCGATCCTCGGTATAATAGTAGTCTAACTTCTGCCGGAATTCTGTTTCGTCGAAATAGTAATAATTCGTCTGGGTATATTCGAGGAATGTTTCCAACAAGAATTCTGCAATATGTCGCGGCGGGAAATACTTTCTCGCTGAAGCAACAATTGAACTAGGAGACTGAAGACCAGTTGCACGGAAAGGATCATGAGCCGTGTGAGAGTCTCCAGTCTGAATACGGTAGTCAGCATACATAATGTATTAGGATATGGAGCAAATGAACCGTACCGTGCTGTCGTCGGGATCGTTTCCCAGACTTTGTAATTTTCGGCGGATCATCCGTGAGAAATTCCAATGAGAGAATTCCCCAGAGTAGACTGTACACGGGGTCTAGGTAAGATACTCGGCATCTGGAGAGAAAAGCTACGTCCACCATGACTTACTCATCGTACTGGTGGAAAGCGGATGAATGGAATAGAGCTCACTCGGCCCTGGCGCTAGGGTGGAAGGCTTCCTTGAGCTTACTCGGTCCCTCTCCAGAGCATCCGCTACGAATTGAAGATTTGATTGCTCGAATGAAATATCGCCCATGAAATGGCGCACTATCCTTTCGAGACATCGCTCCTTATTTGGGTCCCGTTGTGGGGAGGTGCTGGCTCTATAATGTAAGTTGAGACATCCACCAGCTTTCTGACAAACTATTGCTTCGCCATACCTTGTGGCGCCATTACTGGCTGGTTGCGCAGGGGCCTGGCTGTACTGACAGTTTCTGTTGTACCGTTGGCATCGCAAGCAAGGCATCCCGCCCTGACCTGGAACAATCAGCAAGTGTAGCAAAGAAAATAGGTAATAAACGAAGTCTATACATTTCTCTTTGTGATATCTGCATGGGTTGCATCTAACAGGAAGGTGAATTGTTAGCTTTTACATATAGAGCATGTGCGCCTTTTAGTCGAAATTTAGCTGAATACTTACGCTCGTGCGGTCCTCTTCCGCAAAGCGTCGGGAACCCTCGGTCGTCTCCGGCGGCCAATCGGCCTGCTATTCTGAGGCTCTGTCATCACTTTGATACGGTACTAGTAGCCTGACCCTGAGATAGGGCATCAATGTGGTCTATAGGCATTGCTAAGGGAATAACACTGATGAAGAGTGCGGAAGAGAAGACGATAGTGTGGGGAAAGCAGTGGAAATTAAGGTCCTTTACTCTTTTGGGGTTAGCGCCGATATGTGCATCTTGGAAGTACTACTACTACTAGTAGTACTGAATGCGGACATCAACTACTATCACGACGGTTTCTTTTAACGCTCGAAAAGCTAATCCCGGTCTTATAATTGGATTGATTGTATCAATCAGTCCGAGATAGGGTTAGTGGTGTTTCCAAAAAGAACAGTTCCAATTCGGGGGTAGATCTGCCTACTTCTTGAGTCTTCAGCCCTAACTCCCCTTCTGTTCGGTGACAGATGTTCTAGAAGCTGGCTGTTGGGTAAATTACTAGTAGAAGCCCAACGAAGCAGGAAGGGCTGCCAGTTACTTGCAGACAATTGTGCACCTAGCCTTATTGACTAAGATTGGACAAAGTGGAACCAGGGGATCCGCACAGAGATCGGTAGATGATCAATAGATCAGAGGTGTATTACAAGCAGCACCAAAAAGCTAAATACAGAATAAAAGCTGGGTATATTATTCGTGCAGGGCATCTTTTCTGACCTTCCAGAATTCAGCCCGGCCAGCGACAAAAAAAAAGGGTTTTGTATCATCAACGCCGAAAAGTAGCATTGGGCTCACGCCTTGTTCGTGCTGTCATTTTCAGAGCTGTCCTTTTCCAACTCCTTATGAGCGTGGCTCAGCACACTAGCCCGGCGCACAGCCTCATCCTCCACATCATCCAGCGTATGCAAGAGCTCACCATGCTTGCCATACATGTGAGGCTCTTCATTCGCAATACGCACGACCGAAAAGATGCTCTTCGTCTTTCGGAAGATGCGGTCCATTTCTTCCAGCGACCGACGGGTTGTCTCCGGATAGAAGAAGAATACAACCGGAACGATGAATGCGTTACTGTGGTTGGTCAGTACGAAGGAGCTGACTGCAGAGACTACAGGGAAGACTTACATAACGGCGAAGATAATGTAGGTTTGGTAGTCAATGTTATCGAAAGCAACAGGGGTGATCATAACGACGAGGAAGTTGAAGATCCAGTTCGATGATGTCGCCAGGGCGTTGGCTGGAGCACGAATCTTCAAAGGCACGATCTCGGCAGGATACAGCCAGGTCATTCCCAGCCAGCCGATGGCAAAGAAGGTGTTGAACACAAATAGGAAGACAATACAAGCGATGTTGGCTTCCGAGGTTTTGAGACTAGCTGTGATGGCTAGGATGATCATTGAGACTGACATGCCCGCGGCACCGAAAAGCATCAGTGTCCGGCGGCCGAATTTTTCGATCGTGAACACCGCAATCCAAGAGGCGATGAAATACTCGGTTCCATTGCACGCCGCAATCAATCGAGAGTTGATTAGGGTCATACCCATCTGCTCTTCCAACACAACTGGGATATAGTATGTGATCAAATTGATGCCGGAAATCTGCTGGAACATCTGGTTGACATAGGCCAGCACGGTGCGGTGGAAATGACGGTCTTCGCCCATGGTAAACATATCCTTAAACGAACCCTTAGCCATCTCCAAAACGGTCGCCTTGATAGCTGTGAACTCAGTCTGCAAGAATGTCGGATCGGTTCCATCGCCCAACAAAGCCCCCAGGACTTCTTTCGCCTCATCCTCCTTGCCCTTAAGCACAAGCCAGCGGGGAGATTCGGGAAGGAACATGACAAAAGCCAGGATGATGGCGGCAAAGAAGATCTGGAAAGCCAGTGGGAAACGCCAGGCGACCTCACTGGGGTCGGCAAAGAGCAAACCGAAGTCGATCCAGTAACTAATAGTAATACCACAAGTGATCATAGCGCCCTCGATCATGACCAGCTTACCACGATGATTGGATTTGCAGCACTCAGACTGCCAGGTGGGCACGGTGGATGTGTTCATGCCGTTTCCTAGCAATACAATATTAGCTGAGACTTTTCTCCTGGTGCCTTCCGCTACTTACCGAATCCAGTCACCAGACGTCCAACGATCAGTTGAGGCAGCTGGTACGCGGTACACTGCAACAGTGCTCCAATGACCATGATGAAGGAACCGAGAAAGATAGTTTTACGTCGACCAAGCCAATTCCCAATCCAAATTGTCGGGATAGATCCCGCAAAACATCCTAAGTTGTACGCAGCAACAACAATACCTGCGGTTCAGTTCATTAGCTTCAGCGGCTTCGTACCCCAGGGAATAGAAAAGGTGCAACTTACCTTGGCGAGTAGATTGGGTACTCTGTTCGGCCTGGGTGAGACTATCATAGTACTCACCACTGGTAGCAATGGTGGGGAAATATTTGATGAAGGACTGAAGGGTCAAAAGACCACCGGTGACACCCTGATCGTAACCGAATAGTAGAAAGTCCATACCAGCAATAACACCGATGGCGATTTGCAGGGCGTTGCCCTGAAGGCCCAAATACCTGCGACCCATCCTGGATCCTGTGATTGTTGCCCTCCTAACGAATTGGACTAGATTCCCACACGGGACGAGACTGCTTCAGGGTGAGCGTGGATGGAAAGTGCCAGTCTCATGCGATAGTGAAGGGGAGATCTAAGGGGATAGAAAGGGAAGAGAAGGATGCATTAACGCAAGAGTAAATCGGGATAAAAAAGAAAGGAAGATCAGCAGGATGGTGACAGCAGGGGAGTTGAACGGGGTTTATAAAAGTGAGGCAAAGGACTGGGGGAAGGCATGGCTACTGGGACTAAATACTCATAACCATAATAATAATAATAATAAATTCATTAATTTTTTATTTATTTATTTATTTTTATTTTTTTTTATAAAAAAAAAAAGAAAATAGAATAAAAAAGGATGAGGGTGAAATCCCATAAATTCTAAATCGAATTTAAAGTTCCACGCATCAGACGGTACTGCACAGACATACATAACATTCAATGATACTTACCACTGCAATATTGGGGTCGCATGGCCTCAGACTAAGAAAAAGTACAGGTTCCTTGGGGTTAACGGGGTCCAAGGTTGCATGTTTTGGTATCGCAAACGATCGAAGACTCCTTACAATCCGTCCCATGATTGGGCTACCGGTAATGATTGCGATGGATGAGAATCTCCACCCAGGTGCCAATCTCTCTCTGGATCGAGGTAGTAGTCTCGCATTAGTACCAATTTCCCCGTCTTTCTCTCCAGGCTTTTGACTGTCGCTCTCCATCCTCCACACCACATTTCCATTGGTTGAACCGGAGGCCCCAAAAGGGAAGAGAACTGGATCCGAATCCCCACATAGGATGACTTCCAGGCACCTTTAACGGCCCCAACGTCGGGGTTTTCTCTCACACCATCACTTTCATGTTTGAAGCAAAGTATTCTGGAGTATGACGATGGTGGTCGTTGGGCGACACTCCACAAAAGAGTCGATCGGCGGGGGCTAAACGGGTGGGCGAATAAGTGAACAGAAACGCGGAGAGTAAAAACGACGCATTTGCTACTCTACTTTTTTTGCTGCTCCACTCCGCCCAATGCCGTCATGGCGTTAGCATTGCAGGTTGGTGTGGGCTTTTCTGTCTAACCTGTTTTGGATAATCCGACGGGATGGTCTCTTTCCTGTTTCTATAATTCTTTTTCTTTTTTCCATTTCCTCTTACACTTTCTTTCGGGTCCTCCGTGCACGAGATATCCAACATGAATCATTTCCTTTTGCTTTTTCCATGGATAAAAATAAAGCTCGGCTCAATGGTTATACGCGGGCTCAATTCTCCGGCCACCATAATACTTAGCTGCTGTAGTAAAAGATCGCCACTGGTCTCCTTTTCTCCTTTTGCCTTTCACTCTATTTACGCGGTGCGAGGGATTAGATCCCGTCTCCGGTTCGGGGTTCCTGCCCTACGCGCATCGTATCAACCGCTATTGATGTACTTTGTATTACTAGATTTCGCGCGGCTCGCGTGGTCGAGAACAGGAGACACAGATAGTACTAGAGCTATAGAGAACATGATTCGTATCTTAGTGGGAAAAAAGAGGGTCCATCCATCGTCATCGCTCCGCTCACCTCACTTGACCTGCTCGGCCGGTTACTTAGGAATCCGGGGAGTTTGGAGTCTCCGGATTTTGCAAAGAGGGGCCTGCTACTCGGCCCTATCCGCCAGCTCACGGCCCTCACCCTTACTTCTGACGCCTCGATCCGCCACAGTGATATCGAGCCTATTCAAATATTACCGATCCCGTGGCGCTTATTGTTCATCCTTCATTTAATTTTGTTATTAATATCGAAAGCTTCTGCCTTACTTACAAATCCGGTGAGGGGACCTGGTTGTTTGATGCCTGGATGCAATTCCGTAAGATTATCGTTCGATGGGGTTCCGTCCCAGCGACTAGCGGTACAGTACTTATCCAGGTTGGTCGACTTTTCCTCGTAGTATCATGAGTGTCAGGTAAAACTGGCATCTTCTACTAGTAGGTACTACCTCGCTAAGTCAGTCAATCCAATCAGGTGGCACCGACGAAGAGTTCCCCACTCCCACGGCGAAATGAACGGGAGTCGTCTGATTGAATCAGAGAATCGTACAAAAGAAAGCAATCAGCCAACCACCGGTGAAGAATATTTGCGATGTTTGGTTGGGGGATTTTATTATTTTATTTTGTCGTTAGTTTGAAGAAAGACCAAGAGATACAAGATGTTGTGTATATCTCTTTTATCCTTTTCTTTGTTTTTACCTTTTTCTTTGTCCAGTGATACAGGCCGAAGCCTGCCGAAAGCATCCCAACTTTAAATCAACCCGGCCCGGAGAAACCCTCTCCGGAATGATCCTAGCCATGACCGAGAGGCTAAACCACCGAAGGATCGGCCTAAGGCTGCCATGAAAAGGTAACAGCCTGTTGTTTGATGCCACCCGTCTCGGCGCGCTCTCAAGCCCTTCCCAGACGAGATCAATTTAGAATCCTAGCAAAGCCAAGTACCACCAAGCAACAGTCAAGACTCGTGAATAACCGTGCCCAGAGAAAGCTAAGAATTTCTTAAAATGACTCTCAGTAGACGATTCCCGAAGCCAGGTTCGAGGTTTGAACTGGCAATATGATACCACGGATCTCGTATAGAGTTCGCCTCCTCTTTCAGCCGCCATTGTTTTGTCCTAAGGTTCTGCCAGGCGGCCGTCACGTTCCCAAAGGGCGTTGGGCTTGTGCACCTCACTGGGCGTGCCCCATATGGACCTCGCGTTGAAAGGCTTTCAGCCAACCAGCTGAGATCTTCTCCAACCTGGATCCAGTTAGTTGTTATTACCTGCGGATCGCTTCCCCGTTTTCTCCCCATTCTGGCTTTCGCCCCTCTTGAAACGTGCACTGCCTCTCCACAGTCGTTCGGCTCTGTCCGAACTGTTTTTCTACGATGCTTCTGACATCCAGACCTCCAGACGTCCTCTCGGATTACCTATTCGGGCATTTCCGTTCGTTCCATACCCTTACACTGGAAATTATATTCGTGAGGAAGCCGAGACAACCATATCAATGGCCACCCTGCAGTTTGGTTCATAGGGGTTACCCCAGGGCATTCTCATCTGTCATGGGGCTCCAAATCCATGCTTCTTACCTGTTTTCCTTTATTTCGCGTAGTACGGAAAAAGAGGAAGATATTCCCAGATTCCCATTCCAAGACGATCCGTAACTCGCCTGACGCAACGCCCACATCCAATCTGACATGCCGATCGCAGATACAACTAGATGCATTGCACACACGGCACGATAGGGCGTATATGCATACCTACATTAATTAATATTATCGAGCAGGCAGCCAAGAAGTCATTATTCTCGCTACCAGGTCAACTGCAACTATCCCCAACGGGTGGATCAACTCAGCAGACGGAATCAGCTCATACCACCTGCATGTTACATACTGTGCAGAGGGCGGACCGAGTTCCTAAATCCAATGAGCGTGTCAACCGGAAAATATATTGACCCATAGTTACCTAGTGACAGATGGTGTGAGTGGGTGGGTTACCACTAGACTGAACGAAGGGGAAGTACTAGGAAGGAGGTACCCATTGGCGCGGTCCTTCTTGGCTGGCATTAGTATGTATGTTTTGCTTAGGAGAAAACATTTGAACTGTAGTGTACTGTGTTGTTGGGTTCGGGATGCGCACAGGGCTTGGAAGCACGAACCTCTGCATCTCAATTACTTATATAGGCAATTGCTACGCCGTCGGTACATGAATTCTGTCGGGATAGAATATGATGGTGGCGGTCATATGCGGACGGGTAAGTTCAAATTGACGGGGAAGATTGAGAATTGGGTTGGGGTCATTATGGGGAACCGTCACGGGCCAGTCTCCTATGGCCGGCGTGCGTCCGAAGAAGCCGAGGCAATTTGATATTAGCGTTGCTGAATCGCCGATGCGATGTACCTTGATATGTTGAATGAGTAGTTAAAAGAAGATTGTTTCATTAAATTTGAATTGAAGTAGTATGATATGCTCAGGGCTATGTATCGTCTATCGGCGAAGTAAGGGTATTCATCAGCTTTAAATAAAGAGATTGAACTAGTAATCTATACGACGATTCAACGTCAACAATAAATCTACTATACCAAAACAAGGATTGATTGAAGGACAACAGACAAGACAACTCGTATGAATCGAGAGAGGCTCATGGAAGCAAGGACGGACATCCTGAAAAAGCATCCCGTCAACAAGGTTACCATACCGGATCAACTCCCGATAAACGGCAAGAGAAGCACAAGCACCCCTTGCATGTTTGTCGCTACACCGCAGAACATATCAACAATGTACAAAAACAAGCTCGTATTACTACTGTGCAATCTTGTAGATCATTTCCGCGACCTCCACCGTGAAGATGTTAATCAAATACAGTGCGCAGTGTACATGTCCATGAAATCAGTTCATTCAAGAACCGGCCGTTACAAGTATGTACATACGTCGCCTATAGTTCAGACTCAAGACCACATAAAAACTATTCAAACCACAAATAGAACTCAAATGGCTACAAACCTGTACACCACCATCACATAGCTCACAACTCCATTTAACAACATGCACTTACCCCTTACATCACAGCCATCGCATCTCACATTCCGATGCTGATCCCCGTGGAGCAAGATACGAGAATGCTGCATATTTACATAGACACATACATAACCACCACGTTTGTCCCACGTTGTTTGGCTGCCCGATTCGAAGAATGTTCTCGGGATGCCTGAATGCGGACTGCAAGGGATGCTTCCAGCTTTGTTTTCGGCTTGCCCAGCCCGTCTTGGGTCGTATTGGTTGGGCTGTCTTTACACGTAGACTACAGGTGTTGTTTTTATTTTATTTCTCATTCTTACCTGTCTACTTGGTACTTTGTCGAGGTATTGTCGTTTTTATCCAAATTTATGGTGGTTCTGGTTTATTGAATGGGATGTTGCTGACGTCTATTTTCGGTTTCGGGATTTGTGTCTCGTGAACTGACTCGGTTCCTTTGATGGGTGCAGAAACAAAAGTTCGGGCAAGGGCCGATGTTTGGTTTTACACTATCTCCGCGTAAGTTTACCTGGCTATGGAATTCCCAATCATCCGATCAGAGTTAATGATGGCCTACGAAGCATACTTGAACCGCATAATAGCCCTACGCTACTAAAGCATACACTGTACATAGTAGTACCGGAATGCAAAGGACTAATGATGGAGATGAAATTTTTTTGTAGCAGTGCATTCAAACTTCATTAATTCCCGAGGCAAACAGATAATGGAATCATTCCGTCGTGAGACAGAAGTGGTTCCTTTTCCCGATTGTATCCCGGTCCGTGTGAGAGACTTGTCTTCCCGGCCCCGCCGGTCGAATTTAGCGTTACTACAATGCTCCATAAATCGCACCGAATTAGACCGAGAATGGACAAAGCTCGAGGAAATCCTGGAGCAGACTACACGGGGACGATCCATGCACGTGCGGTGACATCAGACATCGTCTCAAACGATCACTCCGACTCACGCCATGCTCTGACCGGCACGCTGGACGTCTACCAACCTGGTTTCCATCCGCCTTCTTCGGCAGCCACAGCCTCCGAATGGTCGGCCATCCCGATGCTATCGGTAGGCCACCCGCCATCTGCGGCCGCGTTCTGATTGCCATTATTTTCCAAACCTGGGTTGTCGCCCATACCGGTATCATTGTCTGCGGCACTAGGGCAGCGCTTGACAGTGTGGCCCACTGAGTACTTGATATTAACATGGCTGTTCAGAAATATTATCGTAGATCAACCTACTTTGACCGCAATTGTTGCATTTGACCTTTGACCAGTCCCTCTTCTTCGGACAATCGCGGCTGAAATGGCCAACTAACACTCGTATTAGTTTGGGGCCCTAGATGAGATGGAACATCAATTCTAACCCTCATCACAGTTACGGCAAGTCACGGTTGAAATGTCACGGGGCTTATCACAGTCTCGTGCAATGTGATCCTCGGATCTGTTCTGTTAGATCGTCGTCATAGGCCAGAGCCAAAAAGGAAAAAGACAGAGAAGTGAGGCCTTGGAGGGGTGGGGATCGTACTTACCCGCAGTTACGACAGGTTCTCGGGGCAGGGGCCTGTGGACAATCCTTCGCAAAATGACCGACTGAATGTGCATATCAGCATGTAGGCATGTTTAAACATGGGCTGAATTGTATCACCTTCATTGCAACGCTTACACTCAACACCCTCTGCGGAGCGAGGGTTAGGGCATTCGGCTGCTTTATGCTCAGAGGATCTACACACGGTCAGCAACACAACCATGCATTCGAACAGAGAAAGGTCGTACCCGCAGTTACGGCAAGCGAATCTATCGCGGCGAGGCTCAGTGCAGTCACGGGCACGGTGTCCGACAGCGCTGCAGTTGACACACTTCACTTCAACACGCTCATGAATCACATGCTCCTCCTTGCAGCCACGCGCAGTATGACCCATTTCTTTAGTCTTTAGCTATCTGCCTTCCTAGAGATGCGAGAGTATGAATTACCTCCACAGTTTGAGCACTTTGGGATTTCTCGATCATAAGGGATACCGGCATCTTCCAAACGCTCAAGGTTCTCTTCAATAGACCCAGGCCAACGCTCTTTGAGATTGGCACGCTGGGGCTTCGGACTGTAGTAAAACCCAACGACATACTTGCAGTCCAGCTTGCCTTGAAGATTGATCACACTGATACAGTCACCAACGGGCTTTTCCTGTTTTCAAACGTGCAATTAGCACTCAGAAACGATAAAAGTAGGAGCCATGAGTACTACTAACCATGGCAATGAGGTAAAAATTAAGGCTGTCCTGACGCATCTTCTTTTCAATATCAACGAAAGTCGCATCAGGGATTGCCTTGGAGTAGATCTTCAAAGCCTGTCTTCCCGTAAGTTCCTAGAACATATGAGAAGAAACAATAATGTCGAAGAGAAGCATACTTCGCGGAAGTCCTCAAGATCCCTCTCCTCACTGGCCTTCTGCATAGCTGCCCAGGCCTCCTCTGGAAGCTTGTCTGGTATGTTGTTCAGGTCGAACTTGCGGTTCTCCTTACAATCAATGGTTCTATGACCTTTGTAGCCATAGGTTAATCTTTCTCGTGCAAATAACAATCGTCATTGTCTTACCTTCCATTTTGCAGTTCTTGCACACATCAGGAGGTCTCTCAGGGCACTGAGCAGCAGGATGGCCTTCCTGGCTGCAGACGCGGCAAGTGCCTTTGAAAACACGAGGCTTACTACATTCTGTTTTGCTGTGACTGCAGCTTATTTTAGCAATAGCGAACCTTTCAATCGTCATGTTGCTTACCCTTCCTCACCGCAGTTGAAGCAGGCCATGCCCTTACGGGGCTCAGGGCAGTTACGTGCAAAATGACCATCGCTTCCACAGCTGTACATTCATTAGTAAATGGAAAAGAGGGCCATTGAAGCTAACCTACTTGCGGCATCTGTTGTCATCATTCTGTTCATTCCCAGCAGAAGTAGTCTCCCAGGCATCGCCATCAGAGCCAGCATCTTTGAAGTTTCCGGATGGGTTGGCATTCTCGTCATTGTAGGCCGCTATCTATATGTCAGCCTCGAGGAGTAATATAAAGAGTCAATGCATTGAGCAAAACAGGAAAATGGGCAAAGACATGATGCATGATTAGGATTACACTCATGACCATGAACACCTACCAGTACCACCGCCATTATCCCACCCAGCCGCTCCATCATCAGCATTCCACTCACCCATCTTTTCCGTATGTGGACGCTTATCACCTTAAAGGGCCTGAGATTATAAGTGGAGGATATCAGTAGGGTTTCATGGAACAAAATCATGAGATGCGTAAACAATACGTGTGTAGATGGAGAGTGAATCTCCATAGCAGTGAAGGGTCTGTTGTTTGGTCTACTAGCATGGGAGACAGTGTGAGATTCAGGAGGATACTCACCTGAAAGTTGCTTTTTGTGGGGTAGCAGTATCAGAAGGTTTCGCACACCCAAGAAAGGAAGAAGAAGCTATCAAGCACAGAGGTTTGAAAGAGGATACAGGAAGAAGAGGGAGAAGAGGGAGAAGAGGGAGAAGAGGGAGAGGGTAGAAGCCGACAACAAACAACAGAAATCATTCACTGTTTGACTTGGGTCACATGTCCTAACTAACACAGTACCAGCTTCTCTAGCAGAGCAAATAGTCTTCTTTCTTTAATACTTTTTAATGGAAATCCTCAACATTTTCAACGTTATATATGTGCATGTGGGTACTGATGTCAACCTGATTTGATTTCCATATTCCAATATGCCTGTTTAAGATGGATGAGACACGCCCAGGCAATATTTCTATGGCCCTCCTTCCATGCTGTACATTTCTCTCAGATATCAGTCTACTCTGGTATATACTGACCTTGTGCGTGTCTATCCAATCCTTCAACCCTAATGCACTCCTTCTTTTCCTAAACGCACCTGCTTGTTTTGTATAGTGTTCCTATTGTGCTCGGTGAAGAGATCAAAGAAGAGACCGGTAACAACTGGGCAGATGCAAGTATACTTTGCGGCTTTCCCATGGAGAATATTACTATACGACGCTCTAAGTAGATCTTAGGCTCAGCAACAGGGATCTCATACACGTGCGCAGTTGCGCTAAGCAGGCTGAGTCTCATCGAGAACGCCACCTTTGTATAACAAAGGCATCATACTAGCCCAATAGCTCTGACAAAAATAATGCAAAAGCATGCATCGAGGTGAAGTTGAAGGTGGCTTTTGTCATCTTAATATATAAAGGCTATTGAAGGACAAACGGCGGTCGGTGCTGCAATAATTGAGAACATTTACTATCTTAAACATTGGTAAGTACGACATTGATAACAGTTTCCATTGGTATCATGGCCTTCCTCAGAGGCACGGTCATGGACGATAATTATTTGATAAGGAATACACGAATGCACCCGTGCTTGGTTGATACAAGGACGATCTTGCTATCCAGAAGCCATGAACCGGACTTGACTCATGCTGACTGTTAGTTGACTTTACTTTCAGCAGTACCTCGTGAGCTACAGTTGGCAGTAGTGCTACCAAGCTCCAAAGGTCGCCATGAAGGCGAACTATACCAGGAAAGCAAGCATTGTACAGTGGATGGATCAGGTATCAAAAGTAGCAGATGGGAAGTACAACCGCCTGGTGCAGGGCTTCATCCATGTGAAACGATCATGCCTCGAATGGACCATTAAGTTCGGAGAATTACTTAATAGCTTCTCAGACAAACAACGGCTTTTGAGACTATTGTTGATCTTTTGAACTGCAGAAAAAGTTTTCTTAAAAGTTCACCGGTTGGCTCACCGATCTCCCCGTCTTGTCGTTGTCGTCACTTGGCGCTCACTGAAGCCAAAGCTGGGTAATGAAGGGACCCGACATCGGATTGAAGCTATCTGAATGAGTCATTTTGTTTTTTTTTTTTTTTTTTTCGACTTCTTATATTCGTGCCTCTCCACAATCTCTGCCATTTACATTCTTCTAATTCGATTAACGTTTGGACTTCGGGTTGATTGATTTATGCTTCTGCGTTCCGAGCTTCTCATTGGTGGATCTGCTTTTTTTCCCCTTCTTTCCGCCGAGCATCGGATGGATTGAGTCGAGAACATTTTTCCCTACTCTGGGACTGCTTCGTTCAACCTGCTCTTCTTCAATTCCTGTTGAACTTCAACTCCAGATATATTGTCACCACTGCTGAATATCCTTAGGCCACCTGCAACCAGACGATCAAAGCACGAGACGGGTATTCTATTACTGCCCCACAATCGGCACCTCGGGTTCAAATTAAAGTTGGATATTAAATCCATATCAAATCCAAGCTATTGAGCTATCGATAATAATTCTATCAATCACTTCCAGCGTCGAACCCCTCTTTTTAATTAAGCAACCAGACCAATTAAAAACAATACCCACAATGAGTCTTCTTCGTTAGGTATGTCTCTTTTTCATCCACTATTGAGTTGACTCTGGGGCCCGATATGAGCCATGGGAGCTACACCACCACAGCCGAGGATATGCGAAAGCTCACGGGTTAATCCGTGTGTTGCATATTCATTCTGCCGCAAATCTCAGACTGCAAATGAAAAAGGGGGGAAAGAAAAAAAACATAATTCTCACTTTAATTTCATTGTTAGGGCTGATTGCGAACGAATCAAGAAAAGCACTCGGGGAACTTTCCGGTCTAGTCAATCAAAAAGTTTCTTGTCGGCGTGCGGGGTTGTTTCCCGACACCATTTGCGGAGTTTTAATCCTGCTTTCGTTGTTGCTGCTTAAATTTCTATTTACCTCCAAACTTTTTTTTTTTTACGGCGTCCCATTCTATCCTCAACCCGAGATAGAACTTCGTTTGTGGGTGGCGTCGTTGGTGCTGCAGGATCATATCAGATTGCAGTATCATAGGTCAGCATGTCTTTAGTTCAATCGCGACCCCCATCCGAGGACATGGGTAAACATCCTGATAGTGGAGATATCCGTGAGCAGTTTAGCAACAGCCGCGACGATGGGGAATCGGGCAGCGAGCCAGATATTGCCGACATCGAGCGCATTTACAGGTATGCCCTCTCCCTCTCATCGGGGAGTAAAAAAGAAAAAAGTAAAAAAGATGCATCTAACAGAATTCTAGGAAGCTGGATTTTCGCATCATCCCTGCCTTCTGGGTTCTTTATTTCCTCTGCGCAGCCGTCCGGTCCAATGTTTCACTCGCCCAAACGATGAATATAGATACCAATCACACTATTTTCGATGTTTTGCACGTAAACGACCACCAAGTCTCGACCGCTCTCGCCTTATTCTACGTGTGCTATGTCCTTTTCGACCTGCCGTCGAATCTAATCATGTCCAGACTCAGTCCACATGTCTGGATGAGTCGCATTGTCATCACTGTCGGCATCATTGGCACCTGCATGACTGCCATGAAAGCCGCCTGGAGTTTCTAGTATGTCACCGACACTCCTTAGAGCTCTACCTCTGATGTTCCAACATCTAAGGCTATCCATGATGCGATAACTAACTTAACCTAGTCTTCTCCGTCTACTCCTTGGTATCGTCATCGCGGGCATGTGGCCCGGCATGGCCTACTACCTGACCCTCTTTTACCCTCCGTCTCGAACAGGGAAGCGGATTGGCCAATACTACACAGCAGCACAGCTTTCCGCCGCAGCTGTCGGCCTGGTCTCGGCCGGATTCCAAAAGATGGACGGTGTCCGAGGCTACGTCGGGTTTCAGTGGATGTTCCTGGTATGGGGTGTCATAACAATCGCCGTCGGCATTCTCCTCCTCTGGTGGCTCCCAGACCGACCCACACCTCCAGGCGAACAAGCCCCGAAGAAGAAATACCTACGGTGGTTCCCACGCAGTCCACCTGCGCTGACCGGCCGGGACGCTGAAATCCACTATCACGACCTGAAGCGCGTATACCACCGCTCGGCATGGACGCTCCAAGACCTCATCCGCGTGTTCCTCGATTGGCGCCTGTGGCCCCTCCTCATCATGTACTTCGGTGTAGTAGGCGTCGGTATCGGCGTCCAAAGCTACGCCACAGTAATCATCAAAGCCATAAACCCCAATCTCAGCGGAATCGACCTCAGTCTCCTCTCCGCCCCAATCTGGCTCGTAAGTGCCCTCCAACCAGCACCACAAACCCAATAATAACCGCATAACAATAAAACTAACCAAAAAATATTTCAACAGATGGACCTTGCCGCCATCCTACTCGTAACCCCCTTCTCAGACCGCTTCCACCACCACCGCGCCATCTTCTTCTCCGTCCCTGTCCTTCTCCAAATACTTGGCCTCCTCCTCACCACCTATGCCGGCACAGACACCAACTCCTGGCCCCGCTACGGCGGCCTCCTAATCGTCGGCTTCGGTCTCGGCCCCACAGTCCCCATAACCATGACCTGGACCACCGAGATCTTCCAACCCCGCCACGGCGAAGTCGGCGTCGCAGCCGCCTCTGCCATCGTCTCCGGCCTAGGCAACCTCGGCAGCATCGTAACGACATATGCCCTATACAACGGCTGGGCCGAGGACAGCGCGGCGCCCGGCCGTCTCAAGTTCCGGAAAAGCAATCTAGTCATGGTCGGCATTCTGTGCGGAAGTATCCTCGCCGCGGTGTTGATGCAGATCCTTGTCCGGGTGATTGACGGACGCAAGAGCGATGAGAATGACCCAGACAAGATCGTGGATGGTGCCGCTAGACGCGAGGCACAGCAGAGGGGTCTCGATGGATTGGGCTCGAGTGTATTTTCTCTTTTCAAGAAGAAGAGGAACAACTAACTAATCGGTCAATAATTTGCGTACATACACGAACACTATAAAGTATGTACGTTACATTTTCTCATCAGGGTTTACTGGCCTGACTAAATAGTCAGGCTGGGTTGACGTTTGGTATGATCCATTGGCAAAAACTAATACATGTATTTATACCTACATATCTACATCTCGTTAACATGATGTTAATTCTAATAGATAGATAGTTAGTCTAGACTATACTTACTAACGATACAAAATACAGCACATCGTGACAAAATCCCAACTCCGTGAACGTATAACTTGTGTCTTCACGACGAACTTGGTAATAATAATAATAATAATAATAATAATAATAATAATAATAATAAT